ATTAAGTGTAAAAGAGGTCGGTTTTTGGGATTAAATATTGAAAGAGGTTGGTTTTGAAAATTTGTCATATTTCCAGCGAGTTTATAGATACTCGTACGCCCATAACTATCCTTTTTACCTCCTAAATTTAAGGACAAATTTCCAAACCATCCCATTTACAAAGGAAATCGCACAAAAAGACCTATTCTAAAAATAATTGTCAAAACCGACCCAATTTCAGCCATCTGGCTGAAACTGGGTCGGTTTTGGCAAAAAAATTTTGAAACTTCACGGGACTTGAAGTCCCGTGAAGTTTAGCAACCATTTAAATTAAGCTGTGTAACTTCACGGGACTTCAAGTCCTGTGAAGTTATTTTACTCGACTTGAAGTGTTTGTTAAACAGTGAAGCCATCACCATAGACGCATGCATCGGCTTTGTTATCATCCTTCGAGATCGTCGTGACCCTGATGGATCCTTCTCCCAAAACTACCCCAACAAAATTCAACCTCATGAGCTCTCTGGTGCAAGCAATACCCTCCTCTTTCAAAGAAAACTTCTACCTCCTCTCAACCCTCAAATGCAATGAACAAAATTCACTCAAAGCCCTCAAAGCCCTCCACTGCTTGGCATCCCCAAAGCAATGGCAAGTGAAGAAGCTACTGCCGTACAAGATAAGCGCCACTGACTTTAAAATCTCACCGCTACTAATTCCTCCCTCACCACCTATTGCTGTCTTGATGTCGCTGCTGATCTCCTCTTGCTTTCGTGAACCAGTCGTCGGCGAATAAACTTACCGTTTAAATCATTCATTCGCTGCTCCCTACCATTTTTCCCCCGCTCTCTCTCTGTTGAAAAGGCGGTGAAGGAGAATGATGTTAAAAGGGGGAAGATAATCACATGACTCCTATTGGCTATCAAAGCTCATAAGAGGTTGGAAATTTAGCTCAAACTTCATGGGACTTCAACTCTCGTGAAGTTTTTTCAACTAAAAATTTTCACGGGGCTTGAAATCCGGTGAAAGAATTGTCGCCCTTAATTAATGTCATTATAGGCTGTTAAACTTCACGGGACTTAAAGTCCCGTGAAGTTTTAGACTTTTTTCGTTAAAACCGACCAAGTTTTCAGCCCGACGGCTGAAACTAGGTCGGTTTTGATAAATTTTTTTTAGAATAGGTCGAAATTTGTGATTTTTTTGTAAATAGGATGGTTTTCAAAATTTATCCTAAATTTAATCTAATAACAAAAAATATGCCAATCATTGACGGTTCATTATGAAACTCGTTAACGTTATTTTTGTTAGAAAATCCCCCTATGGTTTCTAGAATAGACATCAAAGCCTCCTCAAGTTTTAAAAGTGACACTTTCTCCCCCTCCGCAAAACTTTTCCCCCTCTACAAATTTTTTACCTCTAAATTTAATAATAAAATTTCTTGTCCCCTTGAATCCAATCGAATACTCTCACTCGTCGAATCCCCCAAACCCACAAAAGAATTCGATGAAAACGCCATAAAAAACAAGGAGAATTTTAGCCAAAATTCAGATGAAAAATCAAATCCAAAAAGCACCCAAAATGCCAATCATTTCGTAAGCCCGCCCTAGAAGATTAAAGACCCGCCTATCGCCCTAGCACAGATGATCCCCTCTCCCATAACGGTTAAAACCCCCAGAATCGACCGACGTCTGAACTCGGACGAGAGTACAAAGCTTCTGCTCAGATGAAGAAGGTTGCCTAGAAAAATATAACAAAAAGAATTTTAGAGAGGAAGAATTTCCCAAAGGTAGAAGAGAGAGAGTGTGAGGAGGAGAGCTTTCTTTTTCCTTTTCGCTTCTGTGATTTCCGAATAGAGACTTGGGCTCTATATACAGGGGTCGGATACCTAAGAGCTGTTGAAACTTCCGCAATAAATTATGTAACGTTCTCTAAACTTGCTCATAATGTTCGACCGTTACCCATAATCGTGCAGCCGTTACGCACACAAAAAACATGCAAAATAATGCTAGAGAAAACAATAAAATGTGAGCGCGTCTCGCGCGCGTGTGTGTTGTGCAAAGTCCAAACAATACAAAAACCAAAAACACTGCTCAAAGCCCAATAGGAAGAGAACCATTATAAACCCTCTACTATTCATCTCCTTAGTCCATGTGAGGCTATTCACAAAGATGAAATTACCTTTTCTCCCACAATATAGCCAATAAAGACCACTTATTGATGGCTCCTCTTACTCTTTGAGAATTTTTTTTGTTGCTTTTGGCTCACTAGTGAAGCGATTTCGACAAGGTTGTAGACCCTTCCTTGGATTAGATGGTCGCTTCTTAAAGAATGAGATAGATTATGGGGTACTGCTATGTGCAGTTGCTAGAGATGCTGATAATGAGATGTATCCCATCGCCTAGAGAGTTGCTGAGGAAGAGAATAAAGAAAGTTGGGTTTCGTTCTTGAAGAATTTACTTGAATGCATGGGTCCTTGGGAAGAACATGGTTGTACTTCCATTAGTGATAGACAAAATGTAATGTAATCTTTTCCTCATTTGCGTTATATTTTTATAGCAAATATATTTCACTGACATTAACTTTTATATCATGTGCAGGGGTTAGTTGAAGCCATGGCTAAGTTGCTTCCGAGGGCAGAGCATCGAGGCTATTGTGTTAGGCATCTCTCAGCAAATCTTAGAACTCACTATAGAGGCAAGGAGTTGAAAGATATGTTATGGAATTGCGCAAGATCATCTACAGATGAGGGTTTTAATGAAAACACGGAGAATTTGAGAGCAAAAGATGAAGATGCATTCAATTACTTAAACATTATCCCAAGAGCTCAATGGCCAAGATGTGGGTTCCGTACTACTTCAAACTCTAATCTTCTTGAGAAATAATATTTGTTTTAACAAGTGGATTTTAAATAGTAAGAGAGAAAAGTGCCCCACCATAGGAAAAGAGACATCAACAGGACTGCAGTGATGAACTATTTGTGAAGCTAATTTGTAGGGGGGAGGGCTACAGGCACACCCTCGGGCACATCTCCGGCCACGCCCCCTCTCTATCTACAGTGTAGGGGGCCCCACTTGAGATTTTTTAAAAATCTCGAGTGGGACCCCTGCACTGTAGCTAGAGGGGGAGTGGCCAGAGGCATGCCCGAGGGTGTGCCTCTATCATTTCTCTTTGTAATACAAACTATTTTTTTTTTGTGAACTTTTAGCTAAGCATCTATTAGGATTGCTTTCTGCAGTGCTATATTTTTGTAGTAAGTTGGAAAAGCAACTCAACGAATGCTGAATATTTACTTTTCAAATTTGTATAGATTTAATGGTTTACAATGTTGCTTTCTGCTCACTCATTAGACTTTGGTTTCTTGGATTTTTGCTTCTTAAATTTTTATGTGTTCTATGTTTACAATGTTTCTCTCTCATGTCGCTCTTGTATAAAACAAGAACAATTATTCTAGCATGTGTGACATGTTAGATGGCAATTAACTCCATCCAAAAGTGCATTATCGATGGCCTGGTTCATGGTTTTTGTTTTTATTTTTATTTTAAAGGAATGTTCATGAGCAAATGTTTCTTCCTTATTAATTTCTTCCCTGAACCAGGTAAGAGTGCATCCCAGTTGCTCACAAGAAGGCGCCAGATAAATAATGGGAAATTGATATTAAAAAAACAAAACAAAACAAAACAAAGCAAAGCAAAAAAAAAAAAAAAGTGGGAAATTAAATAAAGAGTAGAGGGGTAATTTGGTCTAGTAATGGGTCACATGACATTCAAGTGATCCTATTAGATTGAAAATTTTGCAATGAGGGGGAGAAAATGTTAATTTTGAAACCTGAGAGGGAGAAAGTACTAGTTTTAAAACTTGAGGGAAATTTTCTGTCTGTGCTTGAAACCCAGGGAGATTTTATGTTATTTTGCCTTTTTTAACAAAACATCATGTTGTTAAAAAAAAGCTGTTAAAACCTGTTTATATTCCAAAACACTAATCTCTCTCTCTCTCTCTCTTTCTCTCTTAACATACTCCCTCTTTCTTCCAAAGGCAAAGCATGACTTAAAAAAATTGATGGTTTCACCAAAAAGAGGCTAAAATGACAGAGTTGAAGAGATTACATTGATCTTAGCTAGTGGTCGTAGTTTCTTGGGTTTGACGTGAAAGAGGGAAGGAAGATGAATTTTGCAATATTTTGAGGAGAAAGAGGGGCATTATGGAAGGGTATTTTAGAGAAAAAGATAGAAATTAAATAGGTTTTAACAATTTTTTAAACATCAGGGTGTTTTGTAATGAAAACATGCAGTTTTCTGATAAATTGTCAAACCTGAAGAGGATTTCATATTAATTACCCCCAAAAAAGGTAATGAGTAAAATTTTTACTTCTATTTTCTATGGTTATGTATATTATATACTAAAATTAACTAGGATAAACAATAGTTCGTCTCAGTTAGCTTTAATATATAAGAAAACTAGTATTTAGACCCGTGCAGAGCACAGTATCTAAAAGATTTTCACAACTTGATTATAGCCATTGATATTAAACCATATAAAATTTATATTATAACCTACAAAGGGCTTCATATTTTCACTAAACCACATAAAATTTATATTGCTCAAACCAGCTACCTAAATGATATGTTTATAAATACTGATTAAACATTTGTGAAGATACCAGTTGACAAACATAATAAGACTATGGACAAAAGAAAACACATGATAGTATAAAATTATTTTGTTAACATGAAACCGAACGGTGGCAGCAAATTTTGCAACCAATTTTCTATTTATAATGTCTGGTAGTTAACATGTTACTCGCGATGTAATAATTTAGTTTCCATTTTTTATGGAGAAATGCTTCAATATCTGCTGCAGTCAGGCATAATGGAAATTTCATGAAAAAATAAAAGTTCAAAAAATTAATATCATGATATCCTGCTGGCGTAGTCCAACCCACAAACTACAAATAATTTTATAATTGAAGCTCCAAAAACACTTGATTTGCATTGGAAAAATATGCTTAATCAATAGCTTTGCACCAAATATAACACCAAAATTTTACACTCAGAAGCATATTTCCTACAACAAATTGCAAACATTTAACTGACATATTTCAGACTAATTTCCTATAACAAATGCCACATGGAACATTTTCTACATGCAATATTTGCTACATTTGCCCCAAGTTAATAGAAAAACTTCCCCTTTTACATAAATGCAACCGATCAAATGCCTTATTTAACCACATAATGATCGAATTAATCTTGAAAATACCAGCCCATCAAAATCTCCTACAAAACCCATTTCATAACGCATTAAAAAAAAATCAAAATACCCAACAAATCTGAAAAATGTAACGAAAAGATGATATTTTTAAAATCAAGGAAACCTGATATGAGAGTCCCAGTTTCTGAGAGCGAGCCTGAATCCCCAACAGGATCGTCAATATTGTAATTGGGCTTCCTCTTCTTCTTCCCCTCCTTAGCCATTTCCTACAAAAATCGAGTTTTCCCAGTGTAAACAACAAAAAGATAGAATCTTTCGTATCAAACTAATTGAAAATGAGAACCAGAACCCAATACCTTAGTAGATAATCACTTCTCTCTTGGGGTTGTGGGCTCCTTCTTCTCGAAGGCATCGTAGGTCTTAATGGGTTTCGATTTGAAAGATTTCGGATCCTTTTTAGATCTGCCAGTGGATTGGAACTTAGCGGGTTTGGATCCAAAGGGCTTGCCTTTCTTGGATAGAGACGAAGAGTCTCGCTTCCGCTTCTTAGATCCGTTGAATTCCTCGATGATTGCTTAAGGGAGAAGTTGGCCTAGACGTGGGAGTTAAAATAATCTGATTGCTTCTCGCTTTCATTGCTCTTCATTTTTGAAACTGCAATAAGAACCAAGGAGTTGAATTAAAACCCTTAAAATTGTAAATTTTTTTACCTCCAACGGCGAGATTGGCGGTGAGGAGAAAGGGGAGGACCCGGCGAAGGAAACTCTTCTTCGCTGCCGACGGTGGCAGAGGCGGTAATAGCGGTGGCGGAGTAGAGGAGGCGGAGGATGCCATTGAAGATGAAGGAGGAGTTGATTTTGCTCTTGATTGCTTCTTGCATTTTCCTGTAATCAACAAAATGGGGAATGTGAGAGAGGGAGAGAGGGAGAGAGAACGTGGGACGGTATGAGGAGGGGTTGGGGTGGTTTTCCTAAAAAAATAGAAAGAGTTTATTGAGTTAGGATAGAGATGTGAATCTCGACTGGGTTTACTGAGGGATCTCGAGAGGGGGCTTTTTGAATTTTGAAATCGATTAGGGGGAAGAACGTGGGTAGTAGGAGAGGGAGGCAATAGGAGAGAGATGCAGGAATGGTGGCAGTAGAAGAGAGGAGAAATAATGACATGGCTCCTTTTGAGGGGATGACATGGCTCCTTTTGATTGGTCCACCTAAGATTTACTGTTCATCATAACTTTTTTGTTGTTCTCCTTTAGTTTATAAGTAGTAGATGTTGGGTCTAGGACAAATTTTCGAAATAAAACCAATTTAACAATTTATTTATAAACATCAACCCAATCCATTTTGTTTACAAAAGTTCACCCATTTTTAGCACACCAACAGTACTGGCTAAAACTGGGTCGATTTTTTAAAAAACGCATGATTCTAATTAATCGGGGCTGACAATCTCGTTTAATAAGAGGATAGTTAAAATTGACAGGGTTGGAAACCCCGACTATTTTGAACAATGCTCAAAGATATCAGGGTTGCCAACCCCTAATATTATGAACTAAAATAGTAGGGTTGGCAACCCCGACTATTAAGTTTAAGATAGTCGGGGTTGCCAACCCCGACAATTTTGTAAGGATTCACTTTGAAAACCCCTCAAGTTCAAAAATGTGGTGAACTATGACCACATAGACGTGAACTGCTCAACTCCCGGTTTGTATCCAGCTCTAGTGTTGCTTCTTTTGATCGCACCAAGATATTGAGTAAGTGTCGCATAAGAATTTTTCCAATCACTAAAGATTTTTGTCACCGCCAACCCTTTCTATTATACACACTTAGCCAGAATTTTAAATTTGCGAGGTTCCAAAATAACTTCTTAAAATTTTATTGGGGTTGACAACCATGGCTATTTCGAACTTAGTTCATAATAGTCAGGGTTGTCAACCCCTACTATTTTGAGCATACTTCAAAATAGTAGGGTTGACAAACCCTACTATTTTGAACTTCAAATTAGACGGGGTTCTCAACCTCATCAATTTTAACTATCTTCCAATTGAACGGGTTTTCAACCAGTTTAATTAGGTAAGTATGTTTTTTTAAACCAACCCAATTTCAACCATCATAAGCACATAGCTAAAACTAGATCAATTTTTATGAATAAAAATGGGTCGAATTGATTTCTATTAATAAATTGCCGAATGGGTTTATTTCAAAATTCTTCTAATGACCTACCATCGGAACTGTTTGAACATTCATGAATACTTGCAGTTATCACGCATGGATATTAATCTGAATCAAATTCGAACACTAACTAGATATTCAACCCGTATTCAAATAAGAAAAGTGACCGCATTCCAATTGAAAGATTGTGGTCTTCGATTCTACTCGGCTGTTTTCCACCCCTAATTACATTATTGAAGAAGAAGAAAATAAGCGCAGGAGCACGAGCAATGAAAATTTACCAGTCTAGAAACTTTCAAGAAATCCATTGACTAAACATCATTGAGTATGATAGTTACATATTTCAGGCTCTTTCTTCAATCAAGCATTCATCACTGACGACATTCAGAACATGAGCATATGAAGACACTATACCCATCTAAACATACAATATAACAAAATTTACAGATCTTACAGAAAAAAATACATGCTTCACGCCCAATTCTTCTGCAGCCACATTCTAAGGTTCTGTATGTAGTTAACGAATAGTAAGTTTGTACATATAACCTACAAAAGTATGGGTTAGCCAAGTAGTAGTATAAGGTAGAAGCATCTTCATAACTCATTATCAGTGCGTGACGATGACTCCTGAGGTGCTGATTGTGACGCACTTTGGCTCTCAACACTGCCAGGTTCTGTTTCCTTTTCAACTTCAGCCTTAGACCTGATAGTGACACACAAAGTTACGGTTGGCTTGTTTTAACATAATATTGTGGTCAAGCTCATACTACAGACACCAAATTTATATACAAGGTTTTCAATATGAATCAAATGTAATTAGATGAAAGATGTTCTTTTTCCACAGACCATAGGAAACTGAACAAAGAAGCATCAAGGGGGTTGCAAAGTGACATCGAACTTGAGTTAGCATCGAATGGATTGTTTTGGTGTTTATGTGAAAGTTGGGGATTTATGACACAAAATGGAAGTTGTCATTTACATTAAGCGTTCCACTGTTTTGTTTAGTGTTTATGTGCAAGTTGGGGATTTATGGTCATTGGTCACTTTCGACCAAACTCCTCTTTTGTAGGGATATTGATTTGAAAAGTTACGAATGCTAATTTTCATGGTTTCCAAAGATGCAACCAGAAAAATGAAAGCTGGAAAAGTTGGTTCTGGAGCCCACAATTTAGCTACTTTCCAACTTTTCCATCCAAAACACATACAAACTAAACAGCCTCAAAGATGAACTAGAAAAGACCCCCCTACTGAAGGTTGCAGACGAACATTAATCTTTCCATCCAAGTAATAGTTGGAAAACTAGTGTAGAGAATTATGCTTAAGTCTTAATAAAAACTGAAGGATGTAAGGAAAACTCACTCTTTTTCTAACTGGTAATTGTGTACATCATTTACAACGTGGATCAGCGTATGAAGAGCCATTTTTTTCACCTACTCAAAATAAACTGAAACATCAGTACAGAAATTAAATAATAATAAAATCCTCTTGATGATACTCAGATTAGCATCCGGAGAAGACAGGTCCTGATGTTGTATATGGACACAAAATATATAAGATAAAGAAAATGGTATTGGAAAAGATGAACAGACCTCTAATTTGTCTTCCTTGGCCAAGTGCTCCGGAGGAAGTACACGAAATTCTTCAGTCAATCTCACACACTCGCGAACATTTTCAGGAGATACAAAATCAAGGGCGACTTTTATACAAGACTGAGAGAATACGAGCATCAGATAACAAAGAAAAAGGTTACTACATAATTCATAGAACATACAGAATAGCTTAACCAAACAGATTAGCTTGAAAGTAGCAAAATTACACATAACATAGCAGGACTTCAAATAATTAATACATACTGGAGTTTATACATGATTAGCAGGTAGGGTAAGTTATGGGAATGAAGTCAATATGAACCAACATATGATTCAGTTGGAATAAATCGAAACAACACGCTTCAACTTTAATAACAAAGAACTCCTTGAGAAATAGCTTACCTTCAAGTTTCTGACTTGATGGGGACATCCAGCTGGAATGAAGACGGCCTCACCACGCTTTTGCTCAAATGTCCAAGGCTCAACACCTGCAAACATCACATATCAATACATTTATAGAGCAAAGAAAAAACCAACAACAATAGGTTTTAATGAACCAAGTGCTCTCCAACAGCTCATGAAATTTGATTTTAAATAAGATACTCACCAAATTCCTCCTTAAGTCTTCTTTTATGATCCAGAGTCAGATAGAAAGATTGGTCATGAATAGGATGAGCAACCTAGTAACCAAATATCACTTAATTACTACTTACAACAACATAGGCTCGTGTTACAGCAAAACCATTTATATTGAATCAAGTTACCTGCTCTACTGGAGAACAATGGACATGTCTGAACTCTCTAGAATGCACCCTAAGGTATTCTTGAAGCTTCCCTACATCTTCTCTTCTAAAAATATCCCACAGTGCACCGCCTTCAGGCTGTGGTTGCTCCATAATGCCATCAGAATCTTCCATGACCTTCTTCCATCTTTCATGTGCAGGGTTACCAGAATCAGAACCATTTACTAGTTCATCATCAAAACCATTTGCTCCGGTGCTATTAGCATTAGAAAAATGTTTTCTGCTCTTTTTGGTACCAGTAATTTCAGTCTTTCTGGATTTTCTCTTTCTACGGTTTGGGTTTATTCTCTGAGCTAGCTTCTCAGAGTCTTCAGGAATACCATATTTGCTTTCAGTTCTTTCTTCTCTTTGCAGATTAGCTACAATGCAGTCATCCACCCACACGGCAGGTTCAGGACTCTTTCGTTTCTTCCTACTATAAACAATGTCATTTTTCTCATTAGTACACCATTTACTTTCCAGAGAGGGAGGTGGAGAGGAGAGCATGGACTCATCTTTCTCGACAACAGAGACAGTGGTCTGGACTTCTGCGACAGAATCCTCCAAGATTGGGGCTACGATCTTTTTATCATCTTCTGGATCAGTTTGTTCTGTATGAAGCTGCTCGGAGATATCTTGATCTCTGTGTTTCTTTTTCAACTCTTCTATCTTCTCGAGTTGATAGGCTGTAAGTTTCACTTCTGCTGTATGAGTTAAAACATTTACCTGAACAAGTTATGAGATAAGACACATCAAAGAAAATCATTGACACAGATCAATAAATGAAAAAGATACACACTCTGCCACAATTATAAGTCAAGAGTGCTTGGAAGGAGTAACAAAGAAATGCCCTCTGATGTAAATAAATGGGAAAGAACATGACAGTAAAAATATGCAAATAAAATGTACATGTGTAAGTATGCACTTCTGTGTGTGCATTGACATGTATGTTCATGCGCACATGCGTGTGTTGTGTGTGCAAAGGCATCAGGCATCAGAGACAAGATTATAAACAATTGTGTCAGCCCCAACTAATATTGTGATTGAGAGTGACAATGTTGAACCCAAAAGCACAAAAAGTTAACCTGATAAATCTGTTATAAAGTGCAGATAATTTAGCTAATTTTTTTCCTGAAATTATATATGCGTAAACAATATGAGACAAGAAAAAGTCACCAGAAGATGTAATCAACTTCACATCTGATCAGAAAATCTAATGAAAGTGAAAGAACTTAGGATATGGACCTTTTGAAGAAAAAGGAGTAAAAACATAAATGATAGAACATATTTGCTCAAATTACAGAAAAGAAGCACTGGTAGAACTATACATAATAATTTATGGACAGGGAGGAGAGTACGATACACAGGCATAATGATGAGAACAAGAGTGATAAACATTATTAGAATGTTAAGCACAATGCAAAATAATATGGACATCCTGCTACAACTCACTATACCCAAAAAAATATTAAGATGAGTAATATTATGGTGGAGAATAATGCAGAAAGATGAAGCAACAACAACGTTAACATCAAATGATGGATCAAATGAGACTAGAATTTGTGAGTTGATTCTATTCTCACTTGCAAATGGAGTGAACAAACATACCAAAAGGATTGATCATTCTCAAGAAGAGTTTCATGAAGTAAATACTAAATTTAAAGCCTGTGGACAGATGTTGAGAAAAATCCAAGTGTTAATATGATCATTAGTTGGTAAATAAATCCAAGTGTTAATATGATCATTAGTTGGTAAATAAATCCAAGTGTTAATATGATCATTAGTTGGTAAATGCATTACCCAACTAAGGACGTATAAATAAAGAAAACACTTGTGCAAAACTGTAACATACCGCATCAGACATATCACAATGAAGCTTTGTAACAGAATCTCCCCGACCCAACTCTCCAGGTAGTCCATAAGCAATATATGTTTTTGGGCCCATGTCCGGTTTCAAAGAATCTTTAGGCAATTTCACCGCCAGATTAAGAGGGCCGTATTTTGGGTCTGTGTATTCTTGAAATGGCAAAGCAGTGATAAACTCAGCCCCATGTCGTGGCAAACGGTCCTCAAAGGAGCTAGATGGGGGCCAATCCTTAAGTTTAAGCATCTCAGGCCAGCGATTTTGGTGAGCCCTTCCTTCAGTATATCCTTTAAAGAATTGATGAATGTTTATTTCCACCTACAATAGGTATAACAGATAAATCATTATGTGTTCATTTAAAATTTCACCATAAAAAGAAAAGGAAAAAATATCCTTGTGAGAGAAAGGAACCAACAAAGTAATCAACATTCTGTCAAACTACCGCAAACAGAATAATACATGGAAAACACAGCAAAGAATCAAGCAACGGTGCACAATAACATTGAAATAATTTGCCTGTATGCATTGTACATGTAACTAAAGTATGGTTGTCTCTCAGTTTGACTGCCTGATATTAAGAGCTTGACAGTAAGTTGTTTTTACTAATATCAGTGAATAGCTAACTGTATCTGGGTCTAACCTTCATTAACATCAGAAATTACCGGAAAAATAATTATCATGGGCATAAAGTAACTATAAGTGGATATGTATAATCAGGAGGAACTTATTGCACGTAATCGAAAAAGATGTGTAACTATTTAAATCTATAAGTTACAAGCTGCTTAAAGTTTAGCAAAACAAAAAACAAAACAAAAGAAACACAGAATAGAAGCAGAAATCAATTAGTTACTAAAACTATGCCCTAAACTAAATAAAGTAAGAGATGTAATACTCACCTGACACCAGTCTAAACAATCGATTGCCTTCACCGCTAACTGTTCGCTTTGAACCTTTGACTTTTTTGACTTTGTCGTCTCCCGTAGGGCCCGCCACATAACCATTGGTTCCCAGCTTAGACTTGATGTTAACTCAAGGACATCACGAACAATCACTGGCTCACCCTTAACCCAATGGTTTTGGAAGTGTTCTAATTCTCCATGTTGAATATCTCGAGCGGTGGGGCAGTACAGATAGTTATCATTAGAATCCTCTCTGCATGCCGCCTTGCACAACATACTACTGGCGAGATTAATCTGCCCAGCTTCAGTAAAACAGGAGCAATTCTTAGAATTCAAGCATAGTCCAGCAAATTCATTGCTGCCAACAATTGCACTAGCCTTCTCCTCTAACTCCAGAAGTTGTTCCTCAGCAAACATGCACTTCAACTTCAGAAGGGCATTACCGCAGCCGCCTAGCTCCTCCACTGGGCAAGGAATGCTTCCATCACTATTAGCTTTCCATTCCTTTAATGCCAATTCTTTAGAAACAAGTTGCTTGCCATATTCACCATCTTTGTCTTCAGAAACAGGACAAGGAACTCCCCCATGCAAGTAACCTTTGCCTCTATCAAGATATTGTGGGAGTCTCATGAGATCACCCCCAGGTAAGCGACCCTCCCGAAGTTCCTGGCAGCAGCTAAGGCATAGGTCATACGAACAACTAGGGCAGCTTCTGTGAAAATCAACTAAAGAGGTTCTGCAATTGTTGCTGAAGAACACCAAGAGTTTAAGTCATTCACAAGCAAGCACATACACATAGTAGTACTGCTGAGGGGAGAATTTTACCAGTATACACGCTCATCAACTTCACAATCAGCTCTCTGCACCTTCAGGTTTGTAGCTTCCATACCTTAAAGTAAGAGAATCATTCATCAAGTGAAGGAAAACGTAATACAATTTCCCCAGTTTATGCACAAAAATTACCTAGAATCTTAGCCTCAATTTCCTTCTCTTTCATCTGTACTTCCCGTAATTCTTTCAACCAAGGATGCAGGAAACGTAAAATATAATAATAATGCCTTAACTTTTCAGCTTCTTCAATCTCCTTTACTGGAGGCTAAAGTTGAAAGGACAAATTGTCAGAAAACATAATAGAGCACCACAAGGAGATCTGAAGCAAACATGTAAAAAATGAAGAAAAATAACAGAACAGACCTTGGAAATTCCTTTCATACGCAGGCATGCCTTGCAATTGCAGTTATTACGACAGAATGGGCATTTCGTTGCAAATTCAGTCTCTGATAATTCTGGATACCTACATATCACAAGCAATAATAAATGAAGAGCAAAAAGCTGCATTTATAAATATAACAGTAAACACCCTCTTCTCCTTTACTACGTGATAGAATAGATACGTAGATTAATAAATTGACATACAGATAAAATATCACTTAAACAGTTAAAAATTAGCCCCAAAAAACTTAATAGAGATGATAATCCCAATTTAAGCAAAGTTCTTTGTGGCAGGTAAAAACCAATTTCCTGGGGCGGAATATACAACTTTAAACTGCAAGGGGACCAACTATAGTAACCAAACGATCAACAAATATAAGCAAAAGAAGCAACATAAAAACAAACAAAATGAGTATTAGGAAAAGTAACCCACCAGCGCTTAATACACGGGATGCAATACCGTTTCCTCTCGCAAGACAAGCACCATACAACCCTTTCTTTGTCATTCCTTTGGCACTGATGGCACATGAGGGCATGTTCTCCCGTCAGTGGCTTCTTCCTAGAACCCTAGTTATTATAACAGAACATCAAGTTGAATCCAATACATTACATTAGGAAGGAAAAAAGGAAACAAAGTGGCGAACAAACTTATACAGAATTACCTCAGATGCTTCTCTGTCACTAGAACCTTTAGAACCAATAAGACTTCTGATCTTTCTCATTGTTTTCTCTGCTCTCTCCAAACCCCTCTTATGCTTCTTTCGAAGTTTGACTTCCTCTTCACCATGCTAGCAATTTTTCCAAAAAAAGGTTAGCTTAGAACCAACAGATATTTGAAATTAAAATGTTATTGTTTTAGCTATATGCTCCAACATCTACTTTATTTACGCAGTTACCCTATGAATATTTGTCAATTACCCTCACATATCCTGAGATTGGGTTAATCCACACATCTCATTTCCTGATGACAATCTTCAAACAGGGAAGGGGCACAAAATTATCCTTCCTTTCCCTATTCATCTTTCATTCCTCTCTCTAACCATATAGGGACACGAGCTCTCCTCGTTGCCAGCAACGGTCATTGAACCCCTGCCTGATTGGTTCATCCCCCCAGCCCTTTTCTCTCTCCCAAACCCCACCACCTGCAGGCCCCCTCCTTGCAGCAAGAACGGGCATCATCACGGACAAAGAAATCTTCCCTCCAGTGGAGGATTATAACCCCAGCAGGAAAATTGGGGACAAAGGAATGTGGTGCTAAATTGGCATGTAGTTGGATTTTGGAGGTACATGTACAACTAGACTAGAATTGAGGGGTATATAATATATATATTAAAAAATCTCATAGAAATTCAACCTAGGTATCATGCAATGAATAAACCTTACAGTAAAGCTCACCATGTCAGCAGAACTTTCCTCTTCATTATGCCCCAAATCTCTCTTCTCTGCTTTCTCTGAACTCCTTTTCGGCTTTCCTTGGAGTTTGACTTTCTCAATATTACTCTGCTAAAATGTTTCTCAGGGTAGTAGAATGGAATAATAATAATAATAATAATAATAATAATAAGTAAAGCATTTAAACGGAAATCCACAGTAATGATCCAGCAATGAAGAATGAACTTGCAGTAAAGCTCACCTTGTCTGAAGGCCCCTCCTCTTCACTATGTCCTGAATCTATCTTCTTTGCTTTCCCCAAACTCCTTCTCTGCTTTCCTCGGAGTTTGACTTTCTCATTGTTACTCTCCTAACAATTTTCCAAGATAGTAGGTTAAAACCAACAGCAACAAGTAAAAAATTTGAACAGAAATTCACAGCAGAGATCAAGCAATAAAAGAATGAACCTGCGGTAAAGCTCACCTCGACAGCAGGATTCTCCTCTTCACTGCTTTCCGAGTCTCTCTTCTCCTCGGAGATCTCCTGCATCAAGCTTCTTTTCTTTCTCAAAGCATTTTTTTGCACAACCTTCAGTACCTCTTCACTGTTCTCATCTTCTTCACCCTGTGCAATACAAATGCAGCATCAAAACATCAAGAAACATAACGTTTGAGAGTCCACAACGAACTCAAATCAAAATCAAGATACCAAATTCCGAACCCTAATCAGCTAACAAGCAGCTTCATTTTCTGTTTCCTCCCCCCTTTCATCGCTATAGAATCCAAAATGCAAATCCAATTCGAAAGAAAACAGTGTAAGAATACAAAATCTTACATCCTCGTCGCTTCTCGATTGGTCCTTCTTCCTTAATACACGCCGACTGCTGCCATCTTCGCTCGAAACCCTAACCCCAGGTCTCCCTTTCTTCTTCATCGAGGTTCCCTTCTTCAGCTTCTCTCGGGAATATTGCAAGTGATAATCGCACATTGTACCCTCTTCAGCTCGCCTCTGCTTGCAGCGCCAGCCCTTGCCGTCGTTCCTCGCGCACCGCTCCTCGTCCGGCGGAGGCGGCGGCCACACGTCACCGGACTTCTTCTTCGCCATCATGTCCCCCTCTTGATCTCAATTCCTTCGATTTTTTTTGAAAGTCAGCAAGTCCCGCCAACGAGAAGTTTCTAGGGTTTTTCGTCGATGGGATGTGAAAAGGCGTTTTGAGAAAGAGGAGATTGGAGACCGGGGAAGAATTGTGAAGTTTCCCCTTTCATCGAAGTCTTTGAGGGTCTCCTCCCCGACCCCCTAAACGATCCATATTTGTGCAGGGAGGACCTCATTTGTTTCGTTAATTGAGTTTAATTGAAAGGGCTGCAAATATGGAAAATAAAAGGGGTTATTGACAACAGAAGACACGGATGAAAGCTGGGCTGTGCTAAGTCGCTGCGGTTAAATATCAAAATTATTTATTTTTTATTTATTTTTTTACTATAAAATAAGTCAGATTCATTTTGATTTAAAATCTATATCATAGATTATTACATTTGTCATAAATTTTATTTAAATATTTTTAAAAATTATGAAATAGATTTGTGTGTTAAACTGGGATCAATATACTTTTATATACTTACATACACAACATTATTTTTTAAAATTTGTATATATCAAACTTCATGTAACATATTTGTTTATTGGATCAAATCATCGATCTCCAATTTGTTTTCATGTAACATATTTGTTTATTGGATCAAATCATCGATCTCCAATTTGTTTATTTTAGTCATAAAATATAGTGTTAAGTTTGAAAAAAATATGGATCAAATCATCGATCTCCAATTTGTTTATTTTAGTCATAAAATATAGTGTTAAGTTTGAAAAAAATATAATAATATATTGTTGATGTGTTAATAAATATATAACCAAATACTTAATATTAAGATGGTTTGTATAAGCTCAGCACAAAGTACATACTTTTCACAATACTGTAATATATCTTAATTATTGATAGATTTAAAATAAAAAATGAATACTAACTATTAATGATAATTCTAGTATAATTTTATATGACAAAAGCATTCACATAAGCATATTAAAATTTTTTTGTGAAAATTCCTTCTAAAATTCCTAATTTTACTCAAAAAATTAAGCTTTGCTATAAAATATTAAAAAAAAATATCTTTTATTCTTTCCTGTTTCATATTTAATTGAGCGAAGATCAATCCTTCTTCGTCTTTATCTTTATCCCAGACAATTCTATAGTAATGTCTTCATCTTCTCAATCAATTGTGATATCAGGCTAGTACATAATAAAGAGTAAAAGACATGACAAGAGTCTAGAAATATATTAGGATATACTTGAATTAATCAAATTATATTATTACTCATAATTGATATGTATCAGAGACAACATGTTGATAATTTTAAACAATAAAATAGACTGTATGGGCGCTCTAACATAACTCTTTTAGTGTAAACAACCCTCAAGATTAATTTTAAAAATCTCTTGGAGGCCAGGAATAAACAGCTAACAAGTTTGTAGTGGAAGCTAGTGGAACGTAGTATATTCTTAAGAATTATTAATCTTTACTTCATTTATTTATAATGATATGATCTCAGTATTAACTAACTACAAAGTAGTACATTATTATTTTTATTGGGCGTTCATGCAGGCAGAGAACCCAAGTGAGTCTTCATTACAATGAATATTATACAATTTAAGTACAAAGAAAAAAAAGAGTTGATCAATGGTGTAGTTGGTGAGAAAAAACTCTAGCAGCTTAATTTGAGTATGTGGATATATTATAGATGGAGATGGAGAAGAGTGTTTTTGAAAACAGTGTGTGTGTGTGGGTAATTAATATGTTTTTTGTTTGTTTGATTTTATTTGTTCGTTTTTAATAAATCTGTGGTCCTGTGAATATATATAGCTATAGTATTGCTACTCTCTTTTGGTTTTTCTGTAAGAGTTTGGGTGTAAAGAATTTTTTTTGAATTATCTAATCCGGTTAAAGTAGGATCACATAAGTTAACCCTATATGTGAAATTTATTTTAACCAACACCCATATGTAAGTATTACAATTGACATTAAGATCTAAGATACGTGTGAGATTCTCTTTGACTTTTATACAAATAGCATCTATTTAAATAATAATATTATAATTGAAGTTTGTGATCTGAAAAAAGATCAAACATATAATATAATTAATTACTTTAAAATAATCTGATATTGATGCGGCATAAACATGTACCAAAAAGGCTGCAAGTGCACAACCGTGTCAAGTTATAGTATAAAGAGTTATCGATCCCATGAGGAAGGTGTTTTGTAGGAGAAAATATAAAATTGGTTCTTATGTTGTGTGCGTGACAAAATAGGAGTGATGAGTGAATGTGATTGTGGAGAGAATGATTGTGATTGTGGAAATGAATATATTTGAGAGTGGAAGTGAGTAAAAAATAAATGTGATCAACAAGGCAAGAAGGAAGAATGAATAAAATCGAGAAACAAATAAAAAATCAAGAATGTAAAGATAGCTGATTCAATTAAAGATATGGGTAATCTAGAATTGAATCATCTTCTTAGAAAAAGGTGATTCCCTAGAGGGTTCTAGCCTAAAGGCGAATTAAAGAAAGTGAAAATAAACAAAAAGAAAAACTAAACCCAAGAGGGTTCTAGCCTCAAGGTGAATAGTGCAAGAAATTAAAATCTAACTACAAAATAAATTACAAAATCTAAACTACAAAATAAATTGCCAAAATACAAGAAAATAAATCTATTCTATAAGTATGAAATAAATCTAATTTGTGAGCATGAAATAAATCTAAGGTAAGAGGGTTCTAGCCTCTTGGCTATTTAAACAAGAAAATAAAATCTAATTACAAGCATGAAAATAAATCTAACTAATAAGCAATAAAAGAGAAATAAAAGAGAAAAAGGAAAGAAATGCAAACCTCTAAATAATTCTTCATCTCCATCTTCATCATCCAACAAAGAGAAGAAATATTTAAAGTGGTGAAAAAATTATTATTATTAATTATAACAAAAAGTTACAAATTTAAAAGGCCTTCTCAATTAAGAGTAGCCCTCCTCTCCGAAAGGAGTTATAAAAATTTTCACACCCTTAACCCGGCACTCTCTACCCCTATTTATAGTAATCTTTAATGAATATGAGCCATTGGATTTGTCTTGAGCCCCAAGCAAAGAATCTCCACATTTGAATTTGCTTTTTGTTCTTCTCTAGCCCAACATCCATATGATTTTCAAAAAAAAATGAAAGTCCAAATATTGCAGCCGGTCCATGAAGAATCCAAAAGCCCATTCATGTTAAAAGCCAATTCACGTGATTAAAATCTTTAAAATCCAAAGCTCAAAGCCGGTCCATGAACATGTGATTTTCGGCCCATTCATTTGATTAAAATCAACTACAGCCCATGTCCTCATTCATTTGAAGCACCTCAAGGTCCGGTCTCATTCATGCAGCAAGTCCAACCATTTGAAGTACCTCAAGGTCCGGTCCAGATGGAAATTTTCCAAAGCTACAGCCTATTTCATTCTCATTTGGTTTTCAAAATAGAAAATAAAATTCCGGCCCAATTCAAAGCTGCAGCAGTCCTCATGCATTTGATTTTCAAAACAAAATCAAGCCCAATTGAAGCAACCACCGGCCCATTCATTTGATTTTCTCCATCAGCGGCTCATTCACATGAAAGTTCATTTGATTTTCTCCATCAGTAGCAAGCCGAATTTTTTTTTTTTGGCTTTTGCTTGATGGGCTTCCAACCTTTCAATCATAGGCTTCTAAAATGCTACAAATTAGAGAAGAGAGATTTTGAGGGGTTTTTGTGTTTAATAATATTTATTTATATTTTCATTCATTTATGTGCAAACTAAGCTAACAACAATTATTAATGGTATATTTATTCATGTAAAATAGATAATGATGGTATAAAATTGTAATAAAAATATGATTATCAGATATAATCTAATAAGGGAAAAAATAGATGAAAGTAATGTGAAAATTTTTGTAATTTTATAATTCATAATTTTTAAACAATCTAATCTAATCTAATAAGAAGAAAATAACAAAAACACATACTTGTTGAAGAAGATGAAAGTTCTGTGAAAATTGTCATAATTTCTTGATCTAAAAAAAGATCAAACATATAATATAATTAATTATTTTAAAATAATATAATCTAATCTAATCTAATTAGAAGAAAATAGATATGAAAGTGCTGTGAAAATTGTTGCTATATCTTAATATGAAAAAGATTAAATATAAAATATAATTAATTAAGATAATCTAATCTAATCTAATAAGAAGAAAATAACTATTACACATACTTGTTGAAGAAGATGAAAGTTCTGTGAAAATTGTCATAATTTCTTGATCTAAAAAAAGATCAAACATATAATATAATTAATTATTTTAAAATAATATAATCTAATCTAATCTAATTAGAAGAAAATAGATATGAAAGTGCTGTGAAAATTGTTGCTATATCTTAATATGAAAAAGATTAAATATAAAATATAATTAATTAAGATAATCTAATCTAATCTAATAAGAAGAAAATAACTATTTAAATAATAATAGTATAATTAAACTTTGAAACTAATTATGCACTACCGTGAACTACTTGAATTTTAGTCGGTGAGAGATCGTCATGTTGTGTGCTTAGATCGCAGCCGTTTGTTTTAATTTCTATTTTTTATTTTTGAGAATGGTTGTCTCTTTAATTTGTTTGGTGGATTTTACAGATACCATGTCCACATTATGTACATTTGTAGGTATGCAGTACTCCTAGGTTCAATCTTTAGAGTAGACATTATTTTGCCTTGTTAAGGTTTATGCGTACCCTTCATCTTGTAAATATTTGTGAATTTGGTATTTAATAATTTCATTCATGTTTACATTTTAATTTAAAATATACAATTATCTTCATACTATGTATATCCAATAAGAATTCATCAATTTATCAACTTACTCTTACTTAATGAATTAGTATTTGAATTTCAAGAGTATTTTTGTCTACCGAAAGATTTTTCCAAACTCGTGTTTTTAAAAGGAGTATGATTTTGAACAACCAAAGCGAACCATTCATTATTCAAAACCGAACCGAACTGTTGTAAATCGGTTCGGTGCGGTTTGTTCGATTCTAACTTCATCAAATTTTCAATAAAGTTTGTATTTGTTAAAAATTATCACATACAATACACCACCTTCTTAACATTACATTACATGAAGTACATTCTTCTAACAAACCAAGGAAAAACTAGAAAAGGG